ATACAGCATAGAATAAGGTTACCAAGACAATGAACATTTGCAAACTATTCAAGACAAGCCTCCACCCAGTGGTGGGTTGCCCCCGGTTTGCACTGGTTCTATAGAACCGGTAGTAAAACTGGCGGGAGGCTCCGCCCACCAACCCCAATGTCATCAAAACGCTTCTTCATATGCGCAGAAGCTTCTGCGCTTGCGCGCGGCCCCACTGCACACCAGTAGTAAAGGTAAGTAGAACCCACCTCTGCCTCCACCCCTTTGCACTGAAAAATGCATAAGAAAACAGGCAAGAGATTTGTCACCCTAAATTGCCTATACACATAGTCCTTGATTTACAACAGTTCATTTAGTGACCGCTCAAAGTTACAACAGCACTGAAAAAAGTGACTTATGACTGCTTTCTGGGTTACCACTTTTGAAGCATCCCCATGATCATGTGATCAAAATTCAAATTCTTAGCAACTGGTTCGTACTTATGACCACTGCTGTGTCTCATGATCATGTGATCACCTTTTGCTACCTTCTGACAAGCAAAGTCAATGGGAAAGCCAGATTCACTTAACAACCAGGTTACTAACTTATCAACTGCAGTGATTCACTTAACAATTGTGGCAAGGTCGTAAAATGGGGCAAACTCACTTCAAATGTCTCACTTAGCAACAGAAATTTGGGGCTCAGTTGTGGTCGTAAATCGAGGACTACCTGCATACATTTGAAAGCACAGTATTTACTGGAATCCTTTTATTACTGCATAACCTTAATCTTCAGTATATTTCAGGGCTTTTAGATTCTTTTTGGATCGGGACTCCCTACACACAGTCACTCATGCCCTCGTCACCTCCCGCCTGGACTATTGTAATGCTCTCTACATGGGGCTCCCCTTGAGGAGCATGCGGAGGCTCCAACTGGCACAGAGTGCGGCCGCGCGGGTGGTTATGGGAGCAACATGGCGCTCCCGTGTGACACCTCTCCTGCACAAGCTGCACTGGCTCCCAGTGGTCTTCCGTGTGCGCTTCAAGGTTTTGGTTACCACCTTTAAAGCGCTCCATGGCTTAGGACCTGGTTATTTACGGGACCGCCTACTACCACAAATAGCCTCCCACCAGCCGGTACGCTCTCATAGAGAGGGGCTCCTCCGGGTGCCATCAGCCAAACAGTGTCAACTGGCGGCCCCCAGGGGGAGGGCCTTCTCTGTGGGGGCACCCACTATCTGGAACGAGCTCCCCCCGGAGATACGGAGGATCCCAGATCTGCGCACCTTCCGCTGTGCTCTTAAGAACCTCTTATTCCAGCAAGCCGGTCTGGCCTAATTTTTCTCCCCTTTCTTTTAAATTTTAAATTGAAATTTTAATTTGTTTTAAATTTATTGGGATTTTAATTGTCGTGGGCTAAATCATTTAATTTGGTTTTAAATTGTTCTTAACTTTTGTATTTCTGTATTTTATCCTGTGCCTGTTCACCGCCCTGAGTCCTTCGGGAGTAGGGCGGTATACAAATTTAATAAAACTAAAAACTAAACTAAACTTGTTCCTGAGATAACTATTTCCTGTTTAAATTGCAATGGGAGAAATCTGACATACAGTCAGGTCCAGAAATATTGGGACATCAACACAATTCTAACATCTTTGGCTCTATAAACCACCACAATGGAGTTGGAATGAAACAAACACAATGTGCTTTAACTGCAGACTGTCAGCTTTAATTTGAGGGTATATACATCCAACTCAGGTGAACGGTGTAGGATTTACAGCAGTTTGCATATGTGTCTCCCACTTGTTAAGGGACCAAAGGTAATGGGACAATTGGCTTCTCAGCTGTTCCATGGCCAGGTGTGATATTCCCTCATTATCCCAATTACAATGTGCAGATAAAAGGCCCAGAGTTCATTTCAAGTGTGCTATTTGCATTTGGAATCTGTTGCTGTCAACTCTCAAGATGAGATCCAAAGAGCTGTCACTATCAGTGAAGCAAGCCATCATTAGGCTGAAGAAACAAAACAAACCCATCAGAGAGATAGCAAGAACATTAGGCGTGGCCAAAACAACTGTTTGGAACATTCTCAAAAAGAAGGAGTTCAGCAACACCAAAAGACCCGGGAGACCACGGAAAACAACTGTGGTGGATGACCAAAGAATTCTTTCCCTGGTGCGGAAAACACCCTTCACAACAGTTGGCCAGATCAAGAACCCTCTCCAGGAGGTAGGTGTATGTGTGTCAAAGTCAACAATCAAGAGAAGACTTCACCAGACTGAATACAGAGGGTTCACCACAAGATGTAAACCATTGGTGAGCTTCAAAAACAGGAAGGCCAGATTAGAGGTTGCCAAACAACATCTAACAAAGCCTTCACAGTTCTGGAACAAGATCCTATGGATAGATGAGACCAAGATCAACTTGTACCAGAGTGATGGGAAGAGAAGAGTATGGAGAAGGAAAGGAATTGATCATGATCCTAAGCATACCACCTCATCAGTAAAGCATGGTGGTGGTAGTGTCATGGCGTGGGCATGTATGGCTGCCAATGGAACTGGTTCTCTTGTATTTATTGATGATGTGACTGCTGACAAAAGCAGCAGGATGAATTCTGAAGTGTTTCAGGCAATATTATCTGCTCACATTCAGCCAAATGCTGCAGAACTCATTGGATGGCGCTTCACACTGCAGATGGACAATGACCCAAAGCATACTGCAAAAGCAACCAAAGAGTTTTTGAAGGGACAGAAGTGGAATGTTATGCAATGGCCAAGTCAATCACCTGACCTGAATCCCATTGAGCATACATTTCACTTGCTGAAGACAAAACTGAAGGGAAAATGCCCCAAGAACAAGCAGGAACTGAAGACAGTTGCAGTAGAGGCATGACAGAGCATCACCAGGGATGAAACCCAGCGTCTGGTGATGTCTATGCGTTCCAGACTTCAGGCTGTGATTGACTGCAAAGGATTTGCAACCAAGTATTAAGAAAGGAAAGTTTGATTTATGATTATTATTCTGTCCCATTACCTTTGGTCCCTTAACATATACGAACTGCTGTAAGTCCTACACCCATGATGGCGAACCTATGGCACGCGTGCCACAGGTGGCACGTGACACCATATTAATGGGCACGCCAGCTCAGCTCTGGGGCGCATGCGCATGCTGGACAGTTGATTTTCGGGCCTTCTGGGCCCACCAGAAGTAGGGAAATAGGCTGTTTCCTGCCTCTGGAGGGCCTGGGGGGGTGGGGAAGGCCCGTTTTTCTTTCTTACCTGGCTCCAGATTCTTTCTATGGATCTGGGAAGGGCGAAAACAGCCTTTCCCACTCCCTTGGAAGCCCTACGGAGGCTGAAAGGGCCCATTTCCCGACTCCCGGTGGGACAGGAAGTGACGTTTTTTTCTGTCCCCAGCCTCCAGAGACTCCTAGAGAGGCTCCTAGAGACTCCTAGAGAGGTTCTGGAGGCTGGGGACAGCAAAAAACATCACTTCCTGTCCCACCGAGAGTTGGGAAATGGGCCCTTTCAGCCTCCGTAGGGCCTCCAAGGGAGTGGGAAAGGCTGTTTTCGACCTTCCTAGATCCATAGAAAGGATCTGTAATCAGGTAAGAAAGAAAAATGGGCCTACCAGGCCATCATGTGCCAGGAGCGGGGGTGGGTGGGGTTGCGTGTGCATGCGCGTGGGCACATGCATGTGCGACCCTCCCCCCGCCCCCCCTCTCCTGGCACGCAATGGCAAAAAGGTTAGCCATCACTGTCCTACACCATTCACCTGAGTTGGATATACATACCCTCAAATTAAAGCTGACAGTCTGCAGTTAAAGCACATTGTGTTTGTTTCATTCCAACTCCATTGTGGTGGTGTATAGAGCCAAAGATGTTAGAATTGTGTCGATGTCCCAATATTTCTGGACCTGACTGTATATGTGTTTCCCCCATTTTTTTCTATTTTTATTCTTTTGTAAGTGTAATTTAGATGTTAGCAGCCTGGATTTTCTAATCTGAACAGGATATAAATTTTAGAAAATAAATATGTAAAATGAAAACTATAAATATGTCACCCAGAGCTGAGCTGTAGGATGGAAAGTTTCTGAATTAATTGACAATGTACTCCAGAATAAAGCATTGTGATTTCATCTGAGGTACATAATAGTGTAAAATGAAAAAAAAAAATCCTATTACCCACATTAGTAAAAATCAATTTCTCAACATATGTATATATTTTTAAAAAAACATTTAAAAAGTGCCAGTATTCTTCTTAAAAGGTAATTTATATAACTTTGAAGGTGATTATGGCACATTTCTTGCACATTAATTTTTCTGCTAATTTACATAGATATAATCAAAGCTAGTTTGAGAGTCATCCAAGATTAAATCTAAGCCTTTAATTTAATTTTAAATTTAATATTCCCCTGGAACATTAAGAGGACTTTAACTTTCAGTATTAATAAAATTGATGGAATATGTTTCATTCTCCTTAGTATTTGGACACACTCATGTCTTAATTCCTTACTTACATCTACCAACCTAGAAACAACAGGAAGGATGCCTAAATGCTAGCTCAAGACATGTATGAAACTTGTTTGCTTCTCTCTTTGAAATTCCGAAATGGCACGCACCGCAGCCCAAAGGACCACTTTCTATTCATCTAATGAATATGCAGACCGCCTGCGCCCTCATTCAGGGCCCCGGAGCGAGCGAGTTACTTCGCGACCCCAACCGCCCGCCTCAGGGTGGAGCAAGAAACTTTTGCAATCTTGGGACGGGACTGCGGCTGCCCCCTCCTTCCCCGGCACTGAGACGGCGCCCGAACAGGGGCTCCCTTGGCCCTTTCTCCTTCTGCAGCGGTCTACCGACGGTAGCTGAAGAAACCCAGCCTCGCGAGGCCAAGGCGGGCTGGCGATGGAGAAGGCTAAGCGCGCAGGCGGCTCCCAGACAGGTGGGCTGAGGCTGGGCGCTCTGCGCGGGGCTCTGCCGGTGGGCTGGCCCTGTTTCGCTCCTCAGTTGGATGCCTAGACGGCGGGGAGCCTGCAGATCCATTTCCCTGGCAGCAGCCCGGACCCTGGACGTGCGGGTCGTCGCCGGGACAGGTGGGCGCTGCGTTCTTTCCTTTGGGGTAAGAGCTGCTGGCGTTTGAGGGTGGTCGCCGCCACCGAGCGTTGCTGCGCTCTGTGGCGCTCGCTTTTGAAGCTTTTAAGACGAGAAACTAGATGGAGTAGCCACTTGAGGGACTAGAGCTGGAGCGGAACGGCTGGATTGTTTAAAAAGGTCGCGGTTAATACGTCTGGCCTCCGCGCATGCCTTAGCTTTTGAGTAGCGCATAATGGGGGAATCTTGGACGGTGTTCCAAAAGGGATTTGCAGTTGCGATCCTATAGGCACCCATTTCCTTAGGCTTGAGATCCATCGCCTGCGGTGGAAATCAGCTGATGGACTCTTACTGGTTCTCATGCATTGGGCAGCAGCCACATCTAGACCATATTGGGGTCCCGTTAAGTTTGAGTCTAGCTAAGTTTGCATAAGAAAGCTGCCCCGTGGTTATAATTACCAATGGGCAGTCAAGGAATGGCCTTCAGTTCTGCAATTCTTACTGAACATTTTTTGAACACTGCAAATCTTGTGGTGTGCCCATGCGCACACACCCATGCATTAATGGGTCCCTAAATCCAAGAAGGAAATGCAGATGGATTAGTTACTGGTGAAATAAAACTTAAATTGGGATAACAGAAGAAAACAAGGTATTTTAATAACAGATTATTAACTGTCAAGATATACAATGGTTATTATCTTTTTTGAATTGGCCTTAAAAGTTTGGTTCCAGGGTCTGATGCAGCCACCTTCTCTAGCAATAGCATCTTAGGTAGGAATAAGGACAGCATACCAGTTGGGAATCATAGTTCCATCAGAACTGGAAGATATAAATTTGAAAAACTTTCCTTTGTGGTGATAATCCACTTCAAATTATATTGAACTGTTAAAAGGGGATCTACTTGAGATCTCACCCAGGGTTAGGCATTTCTATTGCAGAAAAAAGCCCTACTTTAGCAAGTAAGTCAGTGTTTTCATGCTAGTTCTATACATAATCACTCAGGAAAAAGTCTTGTATTTTATGAGGTTTACAACCCATGTCTGCAAATCTAGGATTGCAACTCCTTTGCACTGTGTGTTCTTGCAGACTACAGGAGCAGGAGTCTTACTTATATGGAAATTAATGCCATTAATAACAAATTTATTCTTATATGTACAATTTACTCAAAATTCATCTTGCAGCTGAAAAATGAGATTTCCTAAAAGAAAGGAATTCTGATAAAACAGTCTTTCTTTTAAAAACATTTTACTAATACTGTCATGTGATATGAAACTTTTGAAATTACGCTTTTGCTTGGTTTTCTAGTGTCTTTGAATATTCATCTATGATTTTCAGATCTATACCTGTTGTGCCCCTCTTAGGTTTGACCTGTATGTGTCAATGCAAGGTATGTAAATGGGATAATGTAAATAAACCATTGCTACTTTTGCTAAAAGCTATATTCTAAACAAAGCAAGTTTTCGATACATGGAGGAAAACGGGAAAACAAGGTTTCCTCCAAATACTCACTTCAATAAGATCTTCTAAACTATGTCATTTAAGAATGAAGAATGAAGAAACAAAATTCAGCTCCCAGAAATAAATCTCTCTTACACACATATTTATACATCACTTGTTCTTTAATTATAGATCTTGGCACATTTGGCTGCTGACTACAGATGAGCAGAAGATCTGACCGGTCTACTGGCCTGTATAGCCTGATTTATTTATTTAATAATAAAAATGCTTCAAGCTGTACATGTACAGGTGCCTGCTCCAATTTTTCTCCCCAACAGCTCTATAAGGATGTCTGGGCTGAGAAAGAATACCTGGCTAAAAGTCAGTGCACTTCCATGGCTGAGACTGGGGTTAAGGTTTAAATATTGATCTCCCCAATCTGCTACCTCCCCTTTATCCCTTCATGGCACATACGAGTCCAAAGAAGAATGGGGCTGGGGGGGCAACTGATGAAACCATGTCATGATGTTGCAATGTAACTCTTCCCCTTACAATCTTACCTGTGATGTTATGATTCTAGTATCATTGTGTTACGATGTCTTGACGATGTTTTATCATGTTTGCCTACTACAATTAGGAATGGATCCTTCAGCCACTGCCCCATGCTGACTGGCTGCATGGCCTGTATACATGAGTGAATGAGACTGATGAAAGATTAATTAGAGGATAGTTTTCCCCAGGATTTTTTTTCTCCAATAAAATCACTCATTGCTTTGAATTCTAGTAATTACTTCATGGGGTAACATCAGCATTATATACCAAAGACATCAAGTGATGTTCATTCTTTACCTCAGAAAGGGTGACAGCATTACAGAGATAATGTCTCACTACCATGGATTTTTTCAAGGGAGGCTCTATGAGGCGACTCTGCTTCTTTTGTACATCTGTTATGACATCATACAAGCATGATAAGGGGTGGAGCTTGCTTCATAGCATTGGCTTCATCATGCTGATTAAACCATTGGATCCTAGAGAAGCCTCTGCTCTGATAATTTTTTAAATAGATTCCGGCAGAGAAGTTCTTATTCTCTCAGTTAAATACACTTAAATAAATGATTCAATAAAATTATTGTAAATTAATTCTCTGGGTTTAGTTGAAATGTTAGAGTGAATACATGCATTTATTTCAAGCAAAAGATTTATAGTGCGTGATCTGAAGAATACACCCCCTTGATCTCTGCCTAATGTTTAAAAGCATCGCAACATTAGGGATAGTTGTAATTTATTCAAGGACAATATAATCCTATATAAATAAAATACATCACTGTTTGGTACACTTCATCGTAGCTGAAGGTACCCTAGGTATAATCTCAGCAACTTCTATATGTATATATATAGGATTATTATTTAATCCTCTTAATGATTTAGTAATTATTCAATCAAGTTTAGTAATCAGGATTGTATTATTAATAATACTGCAATTTAAACCATTTAAATATTTTAGATCTCCTATATCTTAACATTTTCATTTTATAGCTTTTTAGCTCACCCTTTATTGTATGGAATTTTCCTAGAATTTTTTTCTCCCCCTCCCTCCCAGCTTTGCAGAAGTGCAGAACTCTTTTTTGTAGAACTGTGTTTAAATTTGGTCACTGAGCTCAGTAAAAATTTACACTGTGTATTATGGTGGGAAAAGTAACTATTGTTTTACTAGATCCTGATTAAATGTTAGGATATTACGTTCATTTATTACTTCCTAAGAAACCTCCCAAGGAACTGCAAAAGATTTAGAATAGTCATATGAATAGCAATTTGTTCAGCTGAAAAAATTCAGGGATTCCTGAAAGTCAATCAACTTGGAACAATCAGATCAGCTCTTTTACTAACTTGTTTGTTCCATTATTATTGCATCTAATGAGAGGTGCATTCCAACTACAGCTAAGAGAATAGATTGAGCTCTAGATCTGAAAGTCTCTAGACTTCAAATGTACTATTAAATATTTTGGCTGAGATTATTGGCACAGATATCCAACATATTACAACAGCATTAAGTTATCTACATTAACAGGAAATAAAGCCAAGCCAAATGATCTGAGCAACAAAAGGTTTCTTTTCCACACTTGGAGGTCACAAGAAATTTGAACATTACTATCCAGTCTTATTAGGAGGTATGCTGAAGATCCATCATTTAGATTTAAGTCTCTTTATAATTAATTGAATACACTGCTCAGGTGGCAAATGCAAATTGTAAATGACTGATTTACACTCAGCACTGCGTGTAACAGTACAAATATAAATACTGATAGCATGCAATATAGTCTTGCAGTGCTATAGTAATATTATCACAGATATTAAAGATTCAATGCCTGCCAATCCCAGCTTATCTATTAGCAAAACTTCATTTAAGGTCATTCATTACAAAATATCACAAAGCTACTGCCTTGCTCTTTCCAAGGAATTGCAATTCCATTTTGAGCAGGTGGATCATCACTTAACAGGCAGATGAACCATTAGAACTTCTATCTTATCTGGTCTGAACTCTCCATTTATTGGCCCTCATTCATACCATACTCATTCATACTCAATCATAGTTCACCCTACCTGCATAGAATGGAAATGACTTACATTCACTCCACCCAGTTGCTTTCTGGAACAAGATAATCACAACTGCTATCCCTGAACACTGTGGTGTTTTTCCTCTTAGTAGTAGACTGCCAGTGCTGCAAAGATGGACTATATAACTGAAGAAGTATGGGGGCACAGATACATTTGCAGCTAGTGATTTCCAGGGAATTCAGTTATGGAAGTGGTGGTGCTTCTATTAGGAGTACTTATGATATTTGGTAACGATGAGCAAGATAACTGTATTCTACTTAGATTTAAAAACAAATGTAGAATCTGAGCTCTCCATTCTTAATGTGGTTCACAAACAAAAGGTTCTGTAAAGCTCTAGAGATTCTGAAGGGAATGGCTAGAATTGATGAGAATAAAAACCAAGGAAGGATTCTTACAAGAGTTTGCAAGGCCATCTCCTGGAGCAGATGGAGATACCAGAAGTTTAAGGATCCTAATCAGTCCAAATCAGGTAGGCCAGATCTTCCATGAATGGATTTTTGGGATACCTTTATGTTGATGGTTTCCAGGTTTAGGGAGATGAAAGGCATTGAGAAGTTAGGGAGGAGGGGGTGACAGCATGCTGGATAAGAAACAAAAGACATGAATTCCGTCTGGTTCATGTCTGAGATGTGAGAATTGGTCATCTTTTTGGGGGGAAGAGTGCCTCTCCACTTGGCTTTCAATTGACCTTAGTAGGCAGGTCCTTGGCAATGTCTGCCCCCACAAGGGATTAAACACAAGGTAGGGCACCACCCCATGCCATGCAGAAGATCAAGTGCCCCTATGCTTGATGTACTCTACCCCTTGTCAGCTCATGAACCTGCAATTTACCAAATTTAGGTAACACCCTTAATAAAGGGACAGATCTTGAACTATTAACTAGAAATTTGTCATAGATTCATAACACATATGACTGTTATTCAAAGAGTAATAGGGAAATACAGTTGTGGATTTTAGGAGAAACAATGGAATAGT